CAGGCTTCCCTCCCACGCCRTCAGCTTGCTGGCCAGAGTGGAGCCCAGCTGGGCCATGGCTGTGACTAACAGGAGGGCCACAGCTGGGGAGGAGAGGGAGCAGCGCAGCTTCCTGGGTGGTCTCAGAAGGGCACCTCTGGCCCAAGACTCCACCAGGGCCAGATGGGCAGGAAGCCTGCGCAATCCCAGCTTGGTTTGGAGCCCTTGGTGAGCAGGGCTCCCGGCAGGCCACTGCCAAGTTCTTGAAGAAGCCCTGGGGAATGGGGGGTCTGGGTCTCTCCAGGTTCCTGGCCTCTTCAGGTACCATCCATGGCACCTGGACGGGTCCCCAGCCCTCAGTGTCTTGCCTGGGGAGAGGATCTAGAGCCACCAAGCCACCAGGAATGGTGGGCTGGGGAATATGGAGCTCGGGAGGGCTCCCGGGTACTCAGACCTTCCCCCGCGCTGTGGGCACGGTAATGACAGCACCCTCTGCGTGGTGACGGGGAGCGTCACCAGACACATCCACCTGCCCAAGGCATGGGCAGGAACTGAGACCGAGGGGCAGCTGACCATCAGCGAGCCCTCCTTCCATCCAGAGCAAGTTAGTGACTCCTCCCTCCCTGGGTGGGGACCAGGCACAAGTGCTACCAGCCCTGGCACAGTCTCTCCAGGTTCCTGGCCTTTCCAGGTGCCATCTAAGGCAGGGAGGCTCCCAGGSTCAAAGTGAAGAAGGTCCCCAGGGCAGTCAGTATGCAGACCCCGAGGGCCTTCAGCTGTGTAGGCGATMATGAGAAGGCCTGGACCAGGACCCAAGCGGAGCCTGCATGTCCCGGACATGGGGCACAGTCTTTCCAGGATGCCATCACCTACAAGGCCCTAYGCTGCCTAAGAGACTGATGGGGAAAGGCACGTTCACGGGCCATCCTCAGGGACTCTCCGCTGTGGGGAGACAGAGGTGTAGGGAAGGCTCCCGGAAGCTGGGTGCCTTCAGGTGGTCCTGATGAGCACTCTTGGGGGCAAGCACCATGGGACACGGAGTTTTCCAGCCGTGCACCTGGCCTTTAGGAATGCTGGGCTCACTGGCCTCTCAGCTCATCCCCCAGAGTCCAAAAGCTCACAGCCAACTGGCCTTGTACCCCTGACGCTCTGAGGGCGTGGTTCTTTCCTGACCAGGGCCACCACACCAAGCTTGCCCCCAGGGATGCATGGMACCTGGACGGGTTCCCCAGCCCTCAGTGTCTTGCCTGTGGACAGGATCTAGAGGCCACCAAGCCACCAGGAATGGTGGGCTGGGGAATATGGAGCTCGGGAGGGCTCCCGGGTGCTCGGACCTCCCCCCCGTGCTGTGGGCACGGTAATGACAGCACCCTCTGCGTGGTGACGGGGAGCGTCACCAGAAACCATGTGTCACCACTCCCTTTGTGCTTGTGGCCAGCACGTGTTAAGCAACTAAGMACTTCCCTTGCATGAGCTCATCTGATCCTGCACAACCACCCTCGGAGGCGGAAACTATTATCAGCCCCATTTTCCAGATGAGGGACACTCGGTGACTCACCCTGGGTCACAGGGCTAGAAACAGCAGGGCTGGGGCTGGAGCCAGGGCAGTCCCTAGCTCTGGGCCCTGCACCGTGCTATCCCAGCAGATGACAAGCCTCAGCCACAGTGTGGGGTGGAGCAGATGCTGGAGGCCAGAGGGACAGAAGGAATCTGGTGTTGGAGGAAAGAGGGGAGCACCGGCCTGACATCAGGAGGAACTGATCACGGGGTCAGGRTCACCTGTGAGAAAAATCAGCCCTGGGCCACACGAGCTAGCAGGACCAGCCGGACAGGCACACAGGACCCRCTGGGCCAAGTGGGCAGGGCTAGCCAGCATCTACAAGTCCAGAGGAATAGTCACTTGGAAGAGGGAACTCAAATTCCACTCCCTCTTTACTTTCATCCATTCTCCGTAGGCCCCAGGGACGYTTTAGGAAAAGGAGGCTCGGAGGATTCTGTGGCCAGGTGAGTCTGGAATTCCTCCATGCCATATTTGTGGTCCAGAGATTTGCAAGGGACACAAGCAAAATAAAGGCTCTGATATGTCCTGCAGAGCCTCCTGTTTACTCTCTCCAGCCAGCACTCGTCCTACGAGCTGACCATGAAGCCCTCTGCCTGTGCCTGGGGCACCTGCTGACACCTACCGACACAGTTTGAGAAAGGCTGGCATAGAACAGGCTTGACAATCTTTTCCTTGAAACAACATTTCTGTGCCAGTCATTCGACTTCGCTGTTAAAGCACCCAAGTAAACGGCCCTGGACAAAAGGGCAACAGACTGGCACGTCACCACGCACGTCACCTCCCAGGTCTCCAGGCGTTCTTCTCCCCATTTCCCCCAGTCATTTAAAATACGAGGGCTGSGGGTGGGGCTCGGAGGTAGAGTGYTTGCCCAGCTTGTGCCAGGCCCCAGGTTCCATCCCCAGCATTGCAAAAGGACATATTTATACATATGAAATAGTAAAGTGTGTGTGTGTGTGTGTGTGTGTGTGTGTGTCTCCTTTTCTTCTCCCAGTTGCCCCAAATGGGCTGTGGGCTGACTATGACCACCAAGATTCAGTAATAGGGCAACGAAAAACTCCAGTTCTTTCTTGAGCCCCCTTTCAAGTCTTAGGAACATGGAAAGGGGGTGAAGAATGGAGAGAGGAGTGRGGCACCTTCAGCAGAGAGAGAGGCCTGGGGAGCAGAGCAAGAGTGTGGTTCTCTACTCCGTGGTCCCCGGCATGGCCTGTGGCCTGGGTGAGGGTACTGAAACTCAACGGAGGGGCGTTCTGGATGGTCAGGGCACTCCCTCCTCTCACCCAGACCCTCACAGGCCTTGTAAACTGTTCCTGCTCCCCACTTCCTACTGCCACATCCCTGAGAAAGAGGTAGGAAGAGACACCTCTTTCATTAAATCACCCTCGAGATTCTGGCCAGTTTTCTCCCCAAGCTCCAGATCACAGTGGTGGCCCCAGACAGGAAGGAAAAGGGGCAGAGCCCGGGAACTAGAAAGGAAACAGTGATTGAACCAGCTCTGGTGTCTGGGTCCACCTGGCAAAATCCAGCATCATCGATGTAGAAAGAGAGCCAAACCCTGGGGAAATATTTGCTGCTTGAGCGGCAAAGAGCCAAAGTAGAGGAAAAAAAAGACCAGCGCATGGCAGAGGGTGAGAACGGGGTGTGCAGAGAGGAAACACCATGGTGCAGACGGAGAAATGCTCCACCTCCCCGGGAGAGGAAAGCAGCGGGAACCCCAGGTGCTGTCGGTCCTCCATCAGACTAGCCAGGGTGGGCAAGACCGAGAACTTGAGCAGAGAAGGAGGGAAGCAGGCTCGCTCATGGATGCATAGGAGTGCAGATGAACGGCGTCTGAGCGGGGCCAACTGACAATATCACAGCAGCAACAGGCAATGTCGCTTTCAGGAACTCATCTAGAGCTACACCCACTCCACTGGAAAATGACCTGCATGCCTGGGTTTGCTACTGCGACCTGTTTGTAAGAGCAAGAGATTGGAAAACCCCAGGCATCCACCCCAAAAGGCAATAATAATAGCTTCAACTCTGTTAACTCTGGCTCTCCTTCGTGGGCCCTGTAGTCAGATCATGTTCTAAGTCCTCCGTACTTAGAGTATGATCTGGGGACCTGCAGCCTCAGCATGCCCTGGGGGCTGTCCAAAACGGACCTTCACCCAGTCCAGCCAACTCAGAATCCACATTGTCACAAGAACCCTGGGGAGTCCCCATACACATGAAGGCACTATTTTAAACATTCGCCTCATATGAACCCATAACAACCCCATGGCCCAGATTCTTGTCACCTGCATAGTGGCGATGAGGAAGCCAAGGCTCTGACAGGTCGGGGAAGTTGTTCAAAGTCACACGGGGAGGGAAGGCGAGAGGACACGGACCCTACAAAGTCACGTAAGTCTTACAATGAACTAGGAACCTCTTAATGATGAACAGCATCCATCTCCAAGATAAGCTGTCAGATGAAGAGCACACTGCACCATCATTTGAAGAACAAAAGGAAAGTAGAATCTCTGTGGAAGCTCTTGAATACCCAGATAGCATCTCTGAAAAGGAACTTAGTAACAGGGAAACAGGAGTTGCCTCTGGGAAGTGGAACTCAGCAGATGAGGGAAGGAAGTTGGAGGGAAAGTATTCACTGTCACACACTCCCATACTGTTTGACTATGAGGTCATGGGCCTACATTTCCTGTTCCAAAATAAATGAAAAAACATTTTCTTTTCCTTAAAACTGGTGGAAGGAAGAAGCTACATGCCCAGAAACCACTCCCATTTAATTAGAAACACCATTTGTGGGGAGGAGAAATGGCACGGCCCACCACTCGCTCCCCACTCATCTTCCTGTCTGCCCTTCTCACAGGAGGTGGGTTGTGAGGGAGGACAGGTGCCCGGGAGGCCCAGCTCCAATGGATTCCAGGACTGAGGACTCAGACCCACTAACAGCGAGGGCATTAATGCTTTGGAAGGTGGGATGGTCCTTAGCCAGGGGCAATTCTGTCCCACAGAGGACGTTTGGCAAWGTCGGCAAGCACTTAGGGGAGACCAGGAGATACTGCGGAGCCTAGAGGGGGAGAGGCCACGGGTGCCACTGAATGTGCTCCGGTGCCCGGGCCAGCCCAGGCTGCCGTGCGTCACGAGGTGGAGAAGCTGCACAAGCACTTGGACCGCTGTGTTTACAGGGCTCACTTCAGAGCACTCCAAGGTGAGGCGCTGACAGAGGAGTCCTGGGGCAGCCCTAATTCTGCATCTCTACCATGAGGCACCCCACGGATGTGGGTCCACGGAGCCGTGAGGCCTGTGGCCAAGCTCGCTGGCTCCCTGTGAGGGGAAGGGGCTGCTTTGGCTGGGGGTCGAGTCCTGGGGGAGGGGTGGGAAAGCCTGCTCCAGGAGCAAACAGCACACACACAGCTGCGGACCTCCTCGCCCAGAGCGCGGGCTGCACCAGAACCAGTGGTGGCGGTGGCYGGGGACTCACCATCCAGAGTCTCCACGGAGAGCTGCAGGCCCAGGTTGTGCCTTGGGTTGACCACCCAATGGTTGCTGGTGGCTGTGATGTCGAACACCAGCCAGCCCTCCTCGGAGGCCCAGAGGGTGCGGCTGTCGAGCAGGAAGAGGTCAGACTCCCTGTGAGAGAGGAGGAGAGACACAGGCCCATGGTTAGCCCATCATCGCTCAGTTTCCCCAAAGCCAACAGAGTCTGCGGGACAGGGAGCCACGAGGCGGGCCACTTGTTTCCCCAAAGTGACCAAGCCGACCAAGACCCAGGCACAGAGGGCTCTCAGGAGTCGTGGTGGGGAAAGGGAGCGCAGAAGCATCACAAAAAGACACACGCAGAGGACGCAGGTGCTGCCAGGAAATCTCATTCCACCACGTGCTGGGGGAGGGGCTCCAGCAAGAAGAGTCATCAAGACACCCAAGGCCTGTAGGCTGCCTGTGGCTGGGAGAGACCTGGGGCAGGAGGTGACGATTCCTCACTTACTGCAGCAGAAATTCACCCGGCGGAAGACGGTGGATGGATGGGTACATAGGAAGGTGGATGGGATGAATGGGTGAATGGGATGAATGGGTGAATGGGGTGGGTGGGTGGGTAGATTGGCAGATAGATGGGTGGGTGCAGGTTTGGATAGCTAGATGAGTGGACGGGTGGGTAGGTGGATGTACTCTGCATGCAAGGTCTTCATAACATCTCTTGTGAGCACTTAATTGCAAAGACTCAGTTTTAATACTTTGGGTCCTTCAATACTCAGTTAAAATACTGGAACACCTAATGTGCCATGTGCCAGGGATTGGAGTGGCACGACTATGTGGGTAGCAACTAGAAGTCTAGTAGTGAGTCAGAGGCCACAGGTGGCCAGGAACGTGCTCCAGTCTGATGAAGAAAATGTAATTTATTCCACCAGTCTGGCTCCTGCCCCAGGGCATTGGTAGTCTCTATCATCCCTGGAGTTAACTAACTTTCCTTGGGGTTAAGGTGAATTTTCTCTGCTCATACATAAAGATGTGGGATGTGGCAACTCCTAACTGAGTTCTTACCACGTGCCAAGCTCTGAGTTGAGATGTCTGACCAGCATCGTGTCACTGAGTCTTACAACAACTCTACAAGGCGGATAATATTGCCAATGCTATTGTTCAGATCTCAAATTGAGGTTCAGAGGGTGGAGTTGTCTGCCCAGGGTTATTCCACTGGGACAGGGTCCAGGCAGGTGGAGCCCCACCAGGCTGCCTGCAAGCCCAAGCCTGCAATGTCACATGAAGACAGAGCTTGTGGACTTCACCTTGGCTCTGGTGTAGCTTGTTACAAAACACGCCACTAGATCTCCTGCTGGAGCCAAGCAGCCATGCCCCTTTGGATGAGGCACAGGTCTCAGGTTGGCCTCAGTCCCCTCTTCCTACAAACAACTGCCAATCACCTCCATTCATCATTCCCAGAGACTCCTAAGTGTGCAAGGGCAGCTGAATTACCATTCTGCTGAAGCCACACTCCCTTAGACATTCCCTAGGCACATCAGCAAGGACGGCACAGGAAACGAGTCTTTGTATCAGCCAGTGTCTCTGACGATTTTAACTCAGAACTCACTAGCAATGCGTTGGGAATGAACAGGCCGCTCAGGGAAGCCCCAACGGGGATGAAGAACCAGGCTCAGAAAGCAAACACGGAGGAGGCAGGTGGGATGGTGCAGGACAGGTGGGGCGGGGATCCTGCTCTTCTTTGCCCTCTTTACATCTCTCCCTCCAAAAGTCTGGAGACGGAGAGTTTAGTTGGCCGGGTCAAGTCACACTCTGTGGTACGGTGGGGCTTGGCTTTCCCCGCCCCATGCCCCTACAACCCCACCATTTAATTCAGATTCAGAAAGTCCTGAACTSGATTCAGAAAGTGTTGAATTCTATCATGGGTTTGGTCTGAATATTAGTGTCCCTCCCAGAACCTATGTTGAAACTTAAATTCCCAAGGTGTCAGTATTAAGGGGTGGGACCTGTCAGAGGAAATTAGGCCTCGAGGAAGCCACTCCCATACATGGATTGGCCCTCGGTAGAGGCTTGAGGTGGGAGTCCCTCTTGTTCTTCCCCCTTTCACCACAGGAGGACGCAGAAGGTGCCATCTTGGAGCAGACAGACTCTGGCCAGGCATCGACTCTGCCAACRTCTTGGCTTGGGACTTCGCAGCCTCCAACTGTGAACCATAGATTTCTATTCCTTATGAATGACCCAGTCTCTTGCATTTTGTCAGAATGACACAAATGAACTAAGACAAGGGGCCAGTGTGTGAGTGCTCAGTGGCCTCCAGTCTGAGGACCAACAAACAGCCACACACAAGACAACACGTCATCCCCAGCCAGCCACACTGGAGGCCCTCCTGATGCGCCAGAGGCTGGTCCTTCTCCGTGACACAGAGAGGTGATGGCAGCAAGGAAGTCCTTCTAGAGCCACGTGGGATTTTAAAGACCCCGGGTTGGACTTTCTTCTCCAAAGTGAATCAAAATATTGAGTCGGCTTTTCACGACCCATTTCCTTCTGCTTCTCCCAGGGCCCTGATTTCAGAACTTGCTCAGGGGATGTCCACGCGGCTTTCCAACTCACAAACAAGAATTTCCTGCTGTCTTCATCTCCAGTGTGCCTTGATGACTTTCCCATCCCTGGAGAGTTCCCAAGACCATCCATGAACCAGTGAGCTGCTCTGGACAATTCACAGATGGGAACAGGGACACTGTCCAAGTCAAAACACACCCCCCGCACTGAGCCGGCTCCCGCCCCACAGGAAACATCCACACCTTAGCACAGAAGTCACAAACCTGGGTGGTGATTTTTCTGGAAAATCATTATTTGTAGGAAAATATGACCAGATATCTGGACAGGCCCTGGTGGACGGTAAAACAATGAATGGTAACCGAGGGAACAGCATTCGGCCTCACACAGAGGACGCCCTGCCCAACGATACTGAGCACTCTCATCACGGGCCAGGACACGGAGGCCAGATGCTGCAGGCTGGCGCTGACTCACCCCTGAACCAGCAGGAACGAGGCGACTCCCCGCCCCAAGTCATGGTGTGCAGTGTGTCCCAGGCACGCCCGGAAGCCAGGCCTCCTCGGAAGGCACAAGAGAGGGGAGCCTCGCTGAGACGGGCCACGTGCGCTGAGCACAGGCTTTCCTGCAGACAGGCAGCTGGGCGGGAGGCTGGACACAGAGAGACACAGAGGACCAGGCAGCTGCCATCCCACGAGCAGCCCGACTTTACAACCAGGAAAGCGCTGAATGGGCCCTTTGTGACAGTTTTATTTACCTTGAATACAATGGCCTCCCTGACCCAGCCCAGGGAGAGCGGAGGTAGGGAAGACGCCCCAAGGAACCGGAAGATGATCTTCCCTTTTCGCCACTCCAGAAAACCCAGGTGCTTTCCAAGCTCCCCTCCCTGACAGCTTCAGACCCTGGTAAGGGTACGGGTCCCGTTTTACAAAAGGACAATGATGGTGGAAGAGGGGAAGCCACCTGCCCACAGTGGCAGGCCTTATTCGTGGCAGAACCGAGCCACAGCAAAGGAAACCTGCTCCAGAAGCTGGTACAGAAGCCACAYGGCCTCCTTAGCCCACCGTCTCCTGGGGGCCCAGAGACGTCGGGAGCTGGGAATCCTGCTGTCTCACAGCATGATGGGGTGGAGCAGGTGCTGAGGGGCGCAGATCCAGGGGTGGAACAGCTAATCTGGGTCTCAGTCTGCTCCTCCGCCAAGCGGGGACAAAGCCATCCTTGTAGACAACTGGGAGGAAGAAGGGAAGCTCACCCGGCCCCAGAGGCCAGCGCTCCCAGGATGTGTGTGCAATCGGGGTGTGGGCTCTCCCTGCCACAGGAATTCCAGCTGGGCCCAGAGGTGACGCAGCTCTCCAAGATCCTCCAGGCAAGCCACCACATAGCCATCCAAAGACCTCACCTTTGACCCCAAAACATGTAAGGATGTTAGCAGTTGTGAGAGGCTAACATCCAGCACTTCCTGTTGTCTGCCCCCCACCCGTGCTGCTCTCGTGGTACCTGCTCCCACCTCTGAAGTCCACTGTGACTGGAGGACCTGGGGGCCAGCCCTGCCAGGTCTAGGCAGGGCTCGAAGGCCTGGGCAGTTCTTGGTTTTGCCCCTGGGGAGCCACCACGTCAGGAAACCCAACTGCACTGGGGAAGGTAGAGCCCCCAGAGGATGAGGGTCTGTGAAGGGACTGAGAGAGGAGCCAGGCAGCCCAGGTGCAGGTGGTCCAGCCTCCCCAGGGACCACACGGGAACCACCCGGAGCAGAAGAACCACTGGCTGAGCCCTGCCCATATTACTGAGCAACAAAATGATTGTTTTGAGCCACTCCAAGAGAGATAATCCAAACAAGGGTCACGCTGCTTATGACACAAAAGCTGAAATTGCCCTCTGGGGGACTGGCCAAGACATCGAGGCCTGTCCAAGGTAAGCCTGCCCTGCACAGCTGCTGCACAGGACCTGTCAATCCACTTGCAGTCAAGGGGAACACGGGGTCAGGAAAAAGGTGTTATAAGACACAGTGTGTCACAGGTGCGTTTCTGGAGAAAGATAAAATGCTCAAATGAGTGTGAGAAGAAATGGAGAATTTCAAGAGTTGAATAGGCATGAAAGAAGTCAGAGGAGGAGTGAAAGATCTCCTGGTCCTCACACCTCAGGTGGGTGCATCCTGCTCTTTTACCAAGATCTCTAGGCCACCAGTGGTAACTCCTCCTTCCAGAAGTGTGAGAGGAAGAGGGCAACTCAGAGCCCGCGCAGTACAGCTAGTGTGCCGCTGACTGCCAAATCGGGGAGGGCCCATTTGAACAGACGTCTCCAGAGAAGACGTCCAGAGGGCCACAGGACACACGAAAAGATGTCCAACGTCACGAGCTGTTAGGAAAAAGTAAATCACGGCTACAAGACAGCACTCGACCCACTCAGGAAGGCTGAATCAAAAGCTCAGACACGACCGAGAATCCGGGGGGAAATGAAGAACGAGGCCCCACACACTGGCCACGGGAGGTGAGATGGTGCCATCGGTGGGGAAGTGGCTGGACAGTTTCCCAAAAGGTGAAACATAAGCATCATTTCCAAATGACCCAGCTGGACCAGAGCCCTCCCTGACCCTGGGCACTGTG